CACCTGATCAATACATAAGGCTCACGGCGGGTGTGACCAATCGTCAGGGAATGTTTACTCCTCCTAGGCACCTGATCCCACTCTGGAATTTCCAGAGGTCTGTGTTTTTTTGTTTTTTTTTAATTTTTATTTTTTTTTTTTATTTTTTTTAGATCGATCACTGTTCATTATCTTCACCTTTTTAATTTGCCCTTTTCCCAAGATGTAAAGCTTCACATGAATAAATAAATAAATAAATAAATAAATAAATAAATAAAGTCTTTCAACAAAATTCATTTTTGCTTTTCTACTTGTTTGGAAATGCAATATGCTTTCTAACCCTTTTTTCTTATTTGCAGTTTTACAATGGGTAAGTTGCAAGATTTTATTATTTTAGAAAGCACATTTTTGATTTACAGAAAGCTCAGTACATGTGTAGAACGGTGGAATGTGTGAAAACATTTTTATACAAACTTATATTATCCATGCATTGTAGACTCTAATTTACATTCAATGTTGTAATTTTTAAAATTAAAATGGAAATGATCATTGCTGTTTGAATTATATATTAATCTATAAATAGCATATTTTTATATGAGAAAAAAACCCATAATTATCTAAGAAATTCAAGAACATTTTTATGGATGTCAAATTTATTCGACGCTTTTGGTCATGGCTGGTATATAGAGAATAATACATACCTTTTTCCATATCACATCCTGTATCAATCCGAGACACCAATATAACCCAGAGGGCCGAAGGCCGGAGGACTGATATTGGTCGGGGGCTGATACAGGATGTGATGTGGATGAGGGTGTGTTTTTATTATGTTTATTATATACTTAGTAAAGTAATAAATCATAGCACACATCAACTTGAGAAAAAATAAATAAATAAATAATCATGCACTGACTACTGACATGTACATTGTACGTAGTTTATTGTTTCAAAGAACAGTAATTTAAAATTAAGAGAATGTGAACCCCCAAAAAATGTGTATTATCACAAGTACTGTTTTTAAAGTTTAATTTACTAGGGGTGTGATATTGATCCGTATCAGCCCCGCAGATACGGCTATTGTGACCTCAGGCATATCGCATATGCAAAAATCCTGTATTTGTACTCACAGGTACTTGTGGACAGGACCCCCCCCCCCCCCCCCCCGAAAATACCCCCCCCCCCGGGTCAAAAAATATTTTTATGTCTTTTTTTTCATAAATTATTCTTCTAGTACATATTTACAATGTATTCCATAAGAAAAATCCAAAAAATAACGCAGAATTAACGTTTTACTAAAAAATCATACCCTCGGTATTATAAAATAATACCGAGGGTATGATTTTTTAGTAAAACGTTAATTCTGCGTTATTTTTTGGATTTTTCTTATGGAATACATTGTAAATATGTACTAGAAGAATAATTTATGAAAAAAAGACATAAAAATATTTTTTGACCCGGAGGTATTTTCGGGGGGGGGGGTCCTGTCCACAAGTACCTGTGTTTGTACTAAGTATGTAATAAATAACAATAAATGATTTGGGGCTTCCAAAACAACGGGTACAACAACATTTCAAAGTCAAATTATATAACATTATTAGACGACTGTAAGCCTGAAAATACAGATGTCAAGGTCATATCATAGACAGTTTTATTTAATGCAACAATGATCTTCCAACTTCAACCTGGGAATAAAGTAAACATAGTTTGTTTACACTGTCACAATATTAACAGGATTTCAACTGTGACTGTGTGTTATGCTAAACAATATTAAACTATAATGGACAATTTTTTTCCAAACTCAAAAGCATCTTTCTGATCAAAGATAAAAGCGCTATATACAGTTTGTTCAATGAAATGAAAGATCTTAATTAATTTCAATGTAGAAACTAAAATTTGCGCTTTTTTATACGTATGTAAGTAGTGTGTTATGCTATGCATCAAAAGTGTGGGGTTTTCACATGGGAGCTGATGTAGAAAAAGTACAAATGTCATACTGTAAGAGAATTTTAACTGTTAGAAAAAGTACTTGTAATGATATGATTTATTTTGAACTCGGAAGAGTCCTACTTGAAATTTATAGAAAAAAGAAAATCTTAAATAACTGGTTAAAATTACAAAATAGTGACAATTGTAAACTAAAGTCATGTTTACAGGATATGCTAGAAAATTATGATGTGTGGATTACAAACATAAACAAGAGGCTCATGGGCCATAACGCTCACCTGAGTAACTTTGGCTTTGCTGTTTTTCACCTTATTTCCCCCTTGTAGTACTTATTGTGGCCCCGCCCTACCCCCAGGGGTCATGATTTGAACAATTAGAATCTACACTACCCCAGGATGCCTCGACTTCAGTTTCAGCTTTTCTGGCCCAGTGATTTTTGAGAAGATATTTAAAGATTTTTCCTACATATTTCAATGTGAAAATTGGATTCCCTTTTGTGGCCCCGCCCTACTCCCAGAGGTCATGATTCGAACAATTTATAATCTACACTACCCCAGGAAGCTGCCACTTAAGTTTCAGCCTTTCTGGCCCAGTGGTTCTTGAGAAAAAGAGTTTTAAAGATTTTTTTTCTACATATTTCAATTCTAAACTTGGATTCCCTATTGTGGCCCTGTCCTACCCCGGGGGTCATGATTTAAACAAATAGAATCTACACTACCCCAAAATGCTTCCACATAAGTTTCAGCCTTTCTGGCCTAGTGGTTCTTGAGAAAAAGATTTTTAAAGATTTTTACTACATATTTCAATGTAAAACTTAGATTCCCTTTTGTGTCCCCACCCTGCCCCTGGGGGTCATGATTTAAACAATTAGAATCTACACTACCCCAAAATGCTTCCACATAAGTTTCAGCCTTTCTGGCCCAGTGGTTCTTGAGAAGAAGATTTTTAAAGATTTTTTTTCTACATATTTCAATTCTAAACTTGGATTCCCTATTGTGGCCTTGCCCTACCCCCAGGGGTCATGATTTAAACAAATAGAATCTACACTACCCCAAAATGCTTCCACATAAGTTTCAGCCTTTCTGGCCCAGTGGTTCTTGAGAGAAAGATTTTAAAAAGATTTTTACTACATATTTCAATTCTAAACTTGGATTCCCTATTGTGGCCCCGCCCTACCCCAGGGGTCATGTTTTAAACAATTAGAATCTACACTTCCCCAGGATGCTTCCAAATAAGTTTCAGCTTTTCTGGCCCATTCGTTCTTGAAAAGAAGATTTTTTAATGACCCCACCCAATTTTTGTATTTTCTTGATTATCTCCCCTTTGAAGGGGACTTGGTCCTTAGGCTTCCTTTTTACAATTTAACTCCCCTTCACCTAAGGATGCTTTATACCAAGTTTGGTTAAAATTGGCCCAGTGGTTCTTGAGAAGAAGTTGAAAATGTTAAAAGTTTATAGATGGACGGACAGACAGACAGCTAGACAGACGGACGGACGGACTACGGACAACGGGTGATCAGAAAAGCTCACCTGAGCTTTCAGCTCAGGTGAGCTAAAAAGGAATTCAATCTAAATGGTCTATCAGATCTGTATAACAACAGTTATGTAAATTCACACTGTTAACATATTGTATGAAAGAATTTCTGATACTTTCAAAACAAAAAACATTCATTGTTCAAACTCAGACCTCGACCAAAGGATTTTTTATACCGATATTTGGCGGATAATTTTACTTTACAATCATACCTTTGTAAACCTTTACACACAAATTAAAGGACATGTGTTTCCCGAATAAGATTATGTGCTCTTGATTTAAAAATTGAAAGAGGAAGAAATAAATTGATACATCGAGGAATTTCAGAAAATGAGATCTTTATTCTACGGGTGATTTAGAGGATGAATTTCATTTTATACTTAAATGCCCAAAATATGAAAATTTGAGAGAAAAAAAGTACATCAAAAACTATTATACCTGTCGTCCAAGTGTTTATAAGCTAATGCAATTGTTGACCAGCTCAAATACAAAGGAAATGTGTAACCTTGGAAAAATATGTTTTGCAAACAGATTAAGAAATGAACTGTTGGATTTATAAATGCTTTATTTATTTATACTAAATATTATACTTTATATCTTGCTCATATGAATGTTCTGTTGTGTACTACATGTATATGTATGATATATTTATACCTATGAGATGTATGTCTCTTGGTTGTAATAAGATCTGAAATATGAATATCAGAGTTAAAATAAATTAAGCCGTCCAGTTTGCAGTCTCAATATTCGATAAAGGCATCTTGTTCACATTATTATACGTGACATACATGTAGATGCCATTATAAATACCAAAATGTCTAAAAATTTTCAATTATTTGCTTTTGAACACGAGAACAACGAAGTACGCAGCTTTATTCTTTTCAATGGAGTTTTTAAAATGTATTTGATATCAAACAAATTATTCTTACGTATGCCCAAACAACAAATGAGGTTGGATTTTACAACTGTAATATGCGAGCATATGGCGTGTGCTGTTTTGTTTAAATTGTCAAGTGGCCGTGACAGTAATTGTCACAAAACAAAAAAATCTTTCTCCATTTAACGTCAAATCAAATATACACAATTTAAAGGCAGATTATTTTACATGTTTAAATACGTACTCTACAGAGTATTTATTTTTCTAACCAGGAAGTACACCTTACTTTTTTAAATTACCAAAGAGGTGAAATGCGTTGTTGATGCTATTAATCCTGAGGCAATGTTCCCTCCATATTTTGGTTTCTGTGTTGTTCTACTGGCCAGTTTTGTGCCATGTTGCTCCTTTCCTCCACAGCTGATTCGATCGGAATGGCAAACAAGATCTCATTTCTCGATAACGATTACAGGAATTTTTAGAGCAGCGGCGACTTTCATAGACAAATACAATTTGGTGAATATTAGTGGAGTAGATCAGGCTACTAAAGTTTCTATGTATTTTGGAGAGGGTATGGAATTTAATTCAAACCTAATTATTCTCAATCATCGCAACTACAATGTTACCAGAAAAAATGAGTTTAATCTACTCATTCATTCATTCATTGCAGATGGAAATTCATTTAGAAAATTCTTTGAAACTGTCAACAAAATCGTATTTTTTGAAAATGAACTTCAAAGAGATTTTGCCAATATTGCTTTTTATCATGTAAATGGCGAGCAAATTGTTAAAGGTAAGTAATAAAAAGATACCTATTGAATAGACAGTCAATCCTCTTTATCTTGAACTCGATGAGACCGAAAAAAACCCTGAGATATCCGAGGATTCGATATATTGGGGTTAAAATACATAGAAAAAGAGAAGTTGGGACTTACATTGTAACTCCATTCGAGATATCGGTGTTCGAGATACTGAAGTTCAACTGTATTAAATTTTCCGTAAATTCTGATTTCTTTAATATAAAGAAAATAAAATATTCTAGTTAAGCAACAGAGAATCTATTATTTGAAAAAAGCCTTAAGGAAAACGTGTCTACAATGCAGGTGTTAAATGCACAATTTTTTTAAGAACAATGTGTGAATCAGCAGTGGAAAAGAAACCAAAACTAGAATAAAATACCACTTGGTATTTATTAATATACATGATGCAACAGGGAATTCACCTCGACCTGCATAATTTTTGAAAAAAAAGTTGATATTATTTTCGATTTCTTTATAAAATAAATTGTAAACATTCATATATTAATGCTTAAATCGAATAGATTGTTTTTGATAAGCATGTATTTTTTTCCAGCACATAATTTTGTAAGGTCCCTACGTCGGCAAATTGAGATACTGGCAAAACTGGATAAACCCGATATTGAATTGATTCAGGAGAAACTAGGGTATTGCCTGTATACCATACAAGCTTTCTATAGTAATACGAACTGGGTGGAGATGTATGGAGATACACACTATCCAGATTTTGGTATGGATGGTGATTTTTTGTCAAGTTTAATGTAAAATCAAACCTTCCTTTAAATTTACATCTTAAAACAGTGAAATAATTGTATTGTCTAAAGGCCAAGAAAATGTAACGCTGATTGGAATATCAAGTTCTGCAGAAAAATCATGTAAAAATTGTCCAATAGATAAAAGGTAGGTAGGATAAATTTACTTCTAATGCCAAAAAAAAGTTCACAAACTTTCAGAGTTCTCTCATGTTTATGTTTTTCTGTCTGATAACTGTACATGTGTCAAAAAGCGATTTATTTAAATGTGTAGGAAAACTCGAATAAGGAGAGTTCTGGTGAACTTTGTTCTATTTCTGAAAAAAAGAATAATATAGGAATGCTTCCGAAACTTCCTCAATGACTAAAAAAAAATCTCTAACCAAGGCTTGAATATGATACGATATACATCTATACTGTTGTCAAAAATATATAAAAACAAATAAGTCCAAAGTTCTTGCAGTATCATGTTCTTTTAAAAGTGCACATTACAATCGGAGGCTTAAAATTCTCTTGGATATTCTAAGTGTTTTCTGTACCACCTTATAACAAATCCCTTGTTTATGACAATCTGTTAGGGGTCTAATAGCTCAGTATCCTATAAACATGCCATACTAGAACGAGTGGTAATTGAAACCCGTCAAAAGCTCTTGTTAAGAGGGCCTGTGTTTCTTTTTTTTTTTTTTTTTTTTACAAACACTGTAAAGATTCCGTAATATGCACATGTAAAGCGATATTTCTCTTACTAGTTTTTGAACATGATTTTGCTTTTATATATATATTTTATCAATGTTTGTCAGTAAATATCAATGTTGTCCACGAATTTACGGACAACCCTCGTATATATATATATATATATATATATATATATATATATATATATATATATATATATATATATATATATATATATATATATATATATATATATATATATATATATATATATTAGGGATGTCAAATCGGTGAATATTTGATAATCGGTTACTCGGACGATTTTCCGATCGAGTACCCGGGTACTCGGAAAAAGCGTATACATGAAATTTTTGTTGATGTTATTGAGACCTGTTTACCCCATCGATGTTTTCTTTCGTTTATTATGCATGTACATAAACATCGAGCCCAACGAAAACGATTTTTTGGTAATTAGTTTATGTATCAAACAAACACAAAAGACATGACCGATTATTACACCAACAATTACAAATGATTTACAGTTCTTTTTATGAAGACAATTTGATCAACGGAAGAGAAGGACGCAACTTTGTAATGATAGGACTAGTGAAAGAGAATATCTTTGGGAATGGACGTTGTCGTGATCGCGAGTCGTACATGTATGTTATTTATTAATAAGTTTTCTCTTGATAACTCTGAAAGTTAATTATGTTGATTTTTCGATATTTACAACTTCACCCGTTATGCATAAATTATTCCACATTTCCAACTGCCGTTGATGCTCTAGCATACCCAACAAACTAGACAGCGATTCCTTAAATATATGGTTGTTTCACCCCGTATAGGCTGATATTTTCTATGTATGTCCGATTTCGCTACCGTATGCTAATTAATTAATCTAAGGATAATGAATAAATCATAATTAAAAGGTGTTCATTCAAAACAAATAATTAAAGCCATTCAAAAATTAGGGTCACAAGAGGTGAGAATGATGTCCAGTGATTGGTCACGGTAATTTCTGTATACAAATGTACTGTACACAGCCAAAGGCGGTAACGGGTATTAACTGGTGTAGGTAATGCTAATTACTGTATAGACATGGACAACAATATTTAAATCACATTTTTTGATAAGTTTTTAATAAAAATATGCACTTTGAAATATGAAAAAAAATATACATCCGAGTAACCGAGTACCGATTTTAGTATTCGATACTCGGACGTTCGATCGAGTACCCGGTTAACCGGGTACTCGTTGACATCCCTAATATATATATATATATATATATATATATATATATATATATATATATATATATATATATATATAAAAATAAGACATTTTTAATGCAAGTTCACTAAATATTTTTTTTTACCAAATTGAAAATCTATTTACATGTCTCTTGATTATGCTTGTACATTCGATTACCGAATTAGTAATCACTTGCATGCACATGCTTTGAAGCCAGATGATAAATCAAAATACTTTCAGTGGCATTTATCTCTGTACTGATAATATCATCACCTCCAAGTTAACAAGTAGTTACATGGCAAACCAGGACATATCAAAACCTACTGGTAAGGAACTCTTACGGAGCTTTGTTCTTTTTGTTCTATTTGTTCTATGCATTTTTCATTAGCCAAATTAGCTGTGTCATTTGATTTATGCTAATGTTGTCATAAAATTCCACTTATCCAAAATGTTTTATATTTTTATTTCTAAGAACCGTTAGGTGCAAATCTAGGTAAATGCAGTCACGGAACGGCAGACGACAGTTCGCGCCATTTTCCTGCAACTGGTGGTATTTATAAAGGTCGTGTATCACCTGAGGAATCACCACATCATGGATGGCACCATCAAGCGTGGGAGGCGGCGGCCAAGGCGACGCATCACTTTTTAATGGATGAAAGTAAATTCTCGAGAAGATAAACCATTAATAATAATATAAAAAAAAATAATTGAGAAAAGCTTTTTTTATTAAATTAAATAAAGACTAGATGAAATCCCGTGCAAGCGCGGGTACTTGAATTTTTTCCATTGCTGACGGAATAATTCCAGTAATTATATATTATAGCTTCTATTTACAGTTAATAGTACAGGCTTATAGCAGGAAAAATACTTTGTTCAAAATATCGCAGTTGGCTAAGGAGCAGAAAAAGATATATACACTCCCGTCTTTCTTTTTTTTTAACTTGAAAATCTCAATTTCACTAACCGCCATTTTCTCTTTACATGTTAGCAACTTTATTTTGATACCTGATGTAATATGTTCTAAGTATTGTACTTTGAGGGTGCTCTGTTTCCATTTCCATCAAGGATAAAAAAAAGTGAATGTACACATTTTTTTGGGGGGGGGGTGTTAAAAATTTAGCTTTTCAAACCCTATGAATAGACCTAGTATTTAATACAAAAGACTGTATAAAATTTATTATTAAAGTACAAATTTTTAAGAAGCTTTAAAAAACTTAGAATTAACCACATTTACTTTATATACTTGAACAATACCATATTCATGAAATGACATTTTCTCTTTAGCAAGTTTGAAACTATAATATATTGTACTTTGGGTTACAGGGCTCTACATTAACTTTTTTTCCTACTTGTCCATTCGGACAAGTGACCAAGACATTTACTTGTCCGAACTTCAACTTCACTTGTCCGAAATTTTTTCAATAAAGGTCTAATTCTGTCAACTTGAAAACCATTACTTAAAGTCCATTTTATACGTGCTTGGTTGATTTGTGTTGTTATTGATAAATACAACAAACACATAAAATAAAATTTTATCTAGACTTCCTGTCCTGACAACAGCATAAATGTTCACAAGTAAATCTGTCAACATCAAACAGAATCCAAACGTCGTAAGATCCATGCCTTGAAGTAGTATGCAATTAGTGAACATCGATCCCGATCAAGTATGAACTCAATTACATAGCGATTGATATCGGGATCGGAATTCGGGTTTATGTACTGCTTCCGTTTTTATTCGATAAACTTTCACCAGTCGTTCTTTTTTATTATTTGGAGACTTCTTCACATGAAAGCACTTGTCCAATCGGACAAGTGCCCATCAATATTCACTTGTCCGTATTTTTTTTTCATTGGTACCCGACAAGCGGACAAGCGTTAATGTCGAGCCCTGGGTTAGTTTATCGAAAATGAAAGTAGATTTTGAATTAAATTTAATAATTAATATCCGAATGAAATTTGAATATACACCCTGTATTTTATGGACATCATCTCATACCTAGTGTAATACATGTATTGGTGCAGTAATGATGAACTCTGTGCATGGTTTCGGTTTTTATTTGCAAAATTTATTAATTTATAAGTATAGATATCTTTTTTCATTCACAGAAACAGGTTTGATAAATATCTTAGGCCAAGATATTTTTAAGGAAGTTCTGCATATCAAATCAAAACAAGAGGTCATTAAAAAATCATTGGCTTTTGTAATTGATGTCACTGGATCGATGGGGGACGACATTGAAGGCGTGAAGAGGGCAACAGTGAAATTGGTTGAAGAATCTAGAAACTCTATTTTTGTTCCAGAAAAATACATCCTTGTTACATTTAGTGATCCAGGTATCTAGAAATCGTTAATATTGTACTACAAAAACTGTGTTTCTGGTTTTAGTTTTTTCGTGTATTTATTGTGAACTCGAGGGGTGGATGTGATTCTTTGTACGAGTTTGTTTTTCTTTCTTTGTTTGTGTTTTTCGGAATTAAACAACTAATCTTCGTTTAAAGCGTTTAAATATTTATAATGGACAACGAAAAGCAATAAAATGAATGAAATACACTTTTTCAAAAACATTTGGCAATAATACTTTAATATATCATAATATATGGTGTATATAATGTATTTGATACAGCAGTTTTAACTTATATAGAACACTTGACCACGGGTAGAGAAACTAAAGATTGGAGCCAAATGATAGACTTCTTACAATCTTTAAGTGTGACTGGAGGAGATGATTGTCCTGAATATGCCATGTCAGGAATGCTTCTAGGTATCAAAGAACAACAGTTTAATTATTATCCTTTATAGAATTAAATGAAATAGAATCGGTTCTACAAGCATACATTGTATATAATGATAACACATGGATCAAGGTGTCTAAATTAACGACACTTGAAAGACAAGTCAATTTTGTTGTTCAGTGAACACCATGCAGTAAAATTTAAAAAATAGGCAATTATCATTTTGTAGCAATCAACATGTCAAATGCAGGGTCACAGATTATCCTTTGCACTGATGCTGGTGCCAAAGACGAAGACAAATCTAGTGAAGTTATAAAGGGTCTGAAGTCTAAGTCTTTGGAAGCTGTATATCTACTGACAGGCACCTGTACCTCAAGGAAAAGAAGAGACACACATAGTGGGTGCTACAAAATGAGACGAGTTTTCATCTTTTAAAGATAATTGAATGTTAATTTTTTGTACAGTAGAATAAAGTTTTAATGATTTTGACTTTTTTGCGGAAAAAAGAAAAAAAAGGTTTTTTTTAGATCCTACAGAGTTATTACTATATATCTTTTAAGGACAGAAAAGGGCCACTGGATATAAAGTGTTTGAAGATATAGCGACTGAAACAGGAGGTCAAGTAGTGAAAACAAATACAGCAGAGATAGAGACTGTCGTGGAAAGAGTAGTAAAGGTACAAAATTATATTACTGTTGATGGTGTTCTTTCCTATGCAGATACATATGTGAGTGCTATTGAACTGCATTATTTTTTTTACCTGGATTATCCCTTTGACCTTGACCTCACTTTTCTTCCCTAACTAAAAAAAATAGTTTACTATAGTTAACTGTACGTAATTTACTAAAATTGCATTTAGCTCAGTTTCAAAGAAACTTCAATATATTTTTGTGTAAGATTAACATTGATACAAAGTTTGGTAAGAATTTATGAACTGTGTCCATTTTTTACCTTGACCTGCCCAATGACCTTTGACTTTACAGTCTATAAAACCCAGTTTTAAAGGAACTTCTCAAGATTATTTCACCAAACTTCATACACTAATACAGATTTTCATGTTGCATGTCTAATGAACTCGGAGGGGGGGGGGGATTCATGTCCTATGGACATATTTCTAGGTTCCAAATACAACTCGTTGTGTGTACTCTTTCTACCCCCTTGCTACGGCTCGGGGATAGGAAACACAGAACTCTTTGGGGAAAAAATTAAATCAAATCAATCACAAACTATGGGAAACCCTATATGTATCACTACTGCATTGGAGGTAATTTTTATTTCTTATGTACTGTATCAAAACTTGAATATCATTTTTAAAAATGATTAAGCAGAGAAGGGAATCTTTGCTGATTAAACAACTACAACAAAATAATTGTCCCTTTTATCGGACAACTTGAAACCAAAGACGCTTTTATTAGCAATTTACAATTGTAAACGTATAGAAACCATAATTCTTGATATATTAATCAGAATTATGAATAAGAGATAATCAGTACTATTTCGTTAAATTTAAATTAAAAACGAATATAATTTTTCGGAAATAAAATTTGATACTCTTTGAAAACAACGAAGTTAAGAAAACAAGTAAAACAAAATTAATTTTCCTTGCACTTTTGATTTTTTTTGGGGGGAGGGGGGGGGGGGTGGTGGTTCGAAATTAATGACATATTAGACAACTGTTAAAAGGATAAACATGATACATTTAGCATATAAATATTTTTTTAAAAGAAATAATTATATATACATTCTTCATTTATTTTGCAGACAAGCTTACCATCTGCAATAGTCAATATTAAGTGGTATACATGGGTAACATCAGCTTCTTCTGATTTCAAAATAGAAGTGGATAGTTCCATAAAGGCATTGATAATTCAGATCTCTGGACCGTCCACAAATTCTGATATCACAGTCAAAGATCCAAACGGTAACTTAGGCTATGGTATAAAATAAGAGTTTATGATTTCACACATCGCATTTGCATCACATTTGCTTGCTATAATATGCACAACATATATATATATATATATATATATATATATATATATATATATATATATATATATATATATATATATATATATATATATATATATATATATATTTACTCTTAGATGCAGAAGTGACGTTCTCCACAGAGGGACGAAAGATTTCTACCACTTCTAATAATATGACCATTTCTATTCAGGTATAATTTATTTTTAAAACATAAAAATTTCAGAAAAGCAATGGATACATTTATAGAGTTATGCCCCATTTCTATAGTAATTCCCTACTAGTTCCCGTAAGTAATTGTAATTGCAATAATAATGCTTTCCCTTCATTAATTTTTTTTTATAGATTTTTATTAAATCCTTATATTTTGTACTTATAATTATTAGATTTCATTTATCACAATATAATTTCGATTGCAAGTAGTTTGACACTGGGCCTATATCTTTGCATATATACATATGTCACAAATATGAAGTACGTCTTTATATATATATATATATATATATATATATATATATATATATATATATATATATATATATATATATATTGAGGATATTCACTCTTCAGTCAGGAGCAAACTTTTAAAATTATTCTTTCATCTAAAATATTAATACCTGTATTCTTCATTTCACTCATCTCAATATGATATAAGGTTCTTTGAAGTTTTAAAACCGGACTTGAAAATATTAGCTTTTATACCCAATAAAAATTATATATAAATGGAGAAATCGAATTTCCTTTGATCTATTTAAGCATTAGATACCAATGCTTATTAGCAAGATATAAAATTAGTAGTGATCTTTGAGGTCTTGCATCGATAGCACAAGCTTATTATAAAAACAATTAATCGAAATAGAACTAAAATATACGAAAGCCGGATAGGCTCATTTTTGACAAGATAAAAAAATAATTAACTCGTTATAACGAGATAGTTATCTTGTTATAACGAGTTAGTATCTCGTTATAACGAGTTAGTTATCTCGTTATAACGAGTTAGTTATCTCGTTATAACGAGTTAGTAACTCGTTATAACGAGATAATTATCTCGTTATAACGAGTTAGTATCTCGTTATAACGAGATAACTAACTCGTTATAACGAGATAACTAACTCGTTATAACGAGATACTAACTCGTTATAACAAGATAACTATCTCGTTATAACGAGTTAATTATTTTTTTATCTTGTCAAAAATGAGCCTATCCGGCTTTCGTATTACGAAAGCCGGATAGGCTCATTTTTGACAAGACAAAAAAAAATTAACTCGTTATAACGAGATAATTATCTCGTAATAACGAGTTAGTATCTCGTTATAACGAGTTAGTATCTCGTTATAACAAGTTAATATCTCGTTATAACGAGTTAGTTATCTCGTTATAACGAGATAATTATCTCGTTATAACGAGATATTAACTTGTTATAACGAGATACTAACTCGTTATAACGAGATACTAACTCGTTATTACGAGATAATTATCTCGTTATAACGAGTTAATTTTTTTTTGTCTTGTCAAAAATGAGCCTATCCGGCTTTCGTAAAAAATACCTTAATAGTATAGAAAAATATGAATTTTCTTCCAAATACCTGGATACCTATTGCTTGTTTAAATCCTAAAGCATATTTGCTGATCAGTTTTCAATTTAAAAATGCATAGCTGGTGATTTATTTGCGTTTCCTGAAAATACATTTGAGTTTTGATAACTTTCCCTTTATAATATGACTTACTATTTTTAATGATAAACTTTGAAGAAATACCATGGGTAAAGACACATTACTTTGTTAATTCAGAGACATTTTTGTGATCATTTTCGGACTACCTTAATAATTTCAAGAATACTAAGTATGTATTTTCAACAAAAAAGCTACATGGTTTAAGCTTCTGAGCACATGATGTATCGCAAAAGAGCTTTTCATCAGCACAACAAATGATGTCGATTCAGATTTTTTTTAGACCTTCTTAAATTATTACACGTACATAGAGAAATAGAATCTTTTAACAATAGAGGTTAATTCCCAGATATGAATCAACATTCTTAACTTTTTTTATTATCAGAACTTCTACATGGAATTTGGCCAAATAAAAAATCAGTTTTTACCAAAAACTTGGTCATATAAAAAATCACAGTTGTTTTGGGTTTCGGAATAATAAGTAATAATCCTGCTTATCTATCCATTATCTATCCATGGCCTTATAATAATAACTTCATTCTAGGGATAGACCTTTCACATGAACAAAACTGCACGACTTTTCTAGATGCAACGATATGCTATTAATTAATAATTTGATAGGAATTCTTAAGATGAGCACAGATTGCTTTGAGGAGTCGAAGATTTTCTTTCCCCGACTGACGAAGAAACAGGCAACTTCGATCAGAAAAGCTAATTTAAGCTTTTGTAAAATGGAAGAGTTGTTTCTTGGACGATTTGTTATAATATTTTGTTGATTGAATATAATTTCATAAACGATAAAATAAAGATCCTTTCAAAATATATCCCTTAATGGCATTAGTCTCCAATGGCTGGAAATTGGACACTTAAAAGGAACACCAACTCCATCACGTGGGATACAAATGTGACAGCACAAAGTGAAATTGACTTCTCGACAAACCTCCTAGAGACCGCCGAAGACGGGATGTTATACCAAGTTTATACTAATCCGGTTAAAGGTAATTAACTACACATGCAGATTATGGTGAACAAGTACTTGAAAATAGTTCAGTGTATCAAACAATATTCAAATTCTTTAAATATAACAGGGACAAATAGATTTACCTCTGCAAATCCTGTCCAGTTACTGTATGTCGCAGTCGGGGCTTGAATCCACGATCTTTCGATCACGAAGCAAGCGCTCAAACGACTGAGCTACCGTGACGGTGGCTCTGAATTGTGATTTAAATTCATTAAGGGTTTTGTTCCTCTTTGATTCGTGTATCTTTTATTCGTGCAGACCTCCCCCCTTTTATGTTGAGCACAATTGTGTTTCACCAACCAGAAGGACCCATTTTAGTGTTTGCATGGTTCTTTCTGTGTTTGTCTTACATGAAAAGGCCATGTCCTGGCTATAACTCGCATTTGTTTGGATGAATTCAGACTTACGGTTGTAATGTTACCAATGAAACGTAGGTGTTTTCAGTCCTTGATCAGTTTGCCATCATATTTCATTGATATTCATTTATTTAGTGTAAATTATTGGTGTGTAAATCACAGACTTGCACATAGGCATATTTTTTCATGAAGCGCTAGCGCGCTTCATGAAATATGCCTACGTGACAAGTCTGTGTCACACCAATAACTCACACAAAATTTAAAAACTTTCCTGAATTAAGTAGAAACATTATTTTGCAAGATTTTACACTCAGCTATACTTTTCGATCTTAGTCGTAAGTTCTTTTGTAAATAGGGGCCCTGGTGTCCAAAAATACGAAGGTTGTCCCAGAAAAATACAACTTTTAAAATATTTTTCATATATTTGATTAGTAGGTTCTTTGTCACAAACGTCTTTATTCGGTAAAAGATTCAAATATGAAACAGATAAGAAAGGAAGACTTTCATGTAGATTACAGCTGTAACCGAAACCGCTGTGACATATCTTTTGTGCGATTTTTTGTGTGCTGGGGATACATTAGGCCAAATAGATAGAATAACGTGTTCTGTAATGTTGTTTTAGCACAATTTAATTGCATATTCGTCCAGCGTTCGTCAGCACGTTGAAACCAAAACTTTTCGCATCAATAACTGTTTTAAATTTTGTGCCACTCTGTTGGGAAAAGGGTCATTTATCAGCGGAGGTCAATTTGTTAATAGGAGTACATGTTGAAAACTGACCCCTAGGGTCCTTTTTTCTACAAAATGTTCACATTTTTCTACGGCTTTGGGGACATTTTTTCTACGGGGTCATCTTTCGCCTTTATACTGAGACCTTGAATCATTTCTTACGGAAGCCCAATAGTGCAAACCGAAAAAATTAAAAAATAAAAAAACGAAATTTTAAACAAAAAACGAAATTATTAAATAAAGAAAACGAAATTATTAAATAAAGAAAACGAAATAATTAAATAAAAAACAAACAAAATTATTGCTCTTTTGGAATGTCATTAATAAGCAGAAACAGCCATCCTCGCTCGCATCGTCCAGGCTTACAGGCTCAATTATTAACGTTGTGGGGATGCGACACAGCATCAAATTCCCGTAAACAAAATTGAACAGTTATGAATCATTTACTTCAACAATGCGAATTATAGGCTGTGGGCACATAATAATTTTTTTACGTTTGTTAAATTGACATTTATCTAAGTTTTTTTTATTTTTCATTTCCCCCACACTTGTTTTAATGTCGAAACAAAATCAGGTCTATAGAATTACTAAGTGATGCTTTATAACACGTGCGCTTTATGGAATGATTCATGGGTTCAGGCCCTTACCATGCACATCTATAAATTCCGTATTTTAGTTAAAGTTTTTTAATTTAATAATTTCGTTTTCTTTATATAATAATTTCGTTTTCTTTATTTAATAATTTCGTTTTCTTTATTTAATAATTTCGTTTTCTTTATTTAATAATTTCGTTTCTTCTTTTTAATAATTTCTTTTTTCTTTATTAATTTTTGGTTTGCACTATTGGGCTTCCGTAAATTCTTGATCTGTCCCTTGTTATTTACTTTTACAAGAAATACGACCCTTGTATTTCGATACATTTAGAACTTGGTTAAGGACCCTCTATACACTGATGAAAATGTTTTTGGGACTTTGAGAAAATTATTTAGCATAAAGGAGACATTTTTAAATTAACTAACTCATTTTTATTATAGGGAGCTTGCCTTTTTTATTCAGGAAAAATCTCCAAAGACAATGAAGTGATAGAAAAGAAAAATAGCCTTCATTTACTCAAATGGATAAAATACATGCAAATAAAGTTTTGAAATACTCTATCTTGGTCTAATATAATGTTTAGAATACTTTGATTTATTTCAAATTAGTGATTTAGTTCAGATTACAATTTATTCTACTTGTATATCAAATGGTAGGTCAGTCTAATTACAAAGTACCCTGAAAATAGGGTGCAGTGTAGAGAGGGTCCTTAAATAGAATGCATACTTTCCAACACGTTACAAATTAAAGTAGATTAAAGAAAATAATAAATTAAAGTGTATTGATGCAACTCGAGTAGGTCTTAACGTTTTTTTTTTAACTGCAACATATCTTAATTGATTAATTAGTTGAAAGGATGTTATCTTATTCAGAGACTTTATCCTGTTATTTGAACATTTCTTTTATTAAATTATGAAGGTTCAAATTACACATTAGCTGTGGACGTACAAAATTTACCGGAAAATGCCACTATCAACAGGGCTTTTCTTTTGAATGACAAATGGTCAAAAATATACAATTTGGAACTTACTCAGGTGACATCGGAAGGAGTTTCCAGATTTGCTTCTGCGATGACAGTTGACCAAAAAGTATATTTTTATATATATTTGGATTTTGTTTTTATTTTTTCAAAGTTATAATTACATGCATTCTTTATGCAACTTTGAAACAAGGCGCTGAAATGATTGATTGCCCCTCTGTATACATAATTGACAAATGAATCCTAGGCCACTTCTTACTGTTTGAGAATTTCTTTTAATTAAAAAAAACTAGGTAAGCGGTATACAGATAGAAGGTACAGATGCATCTGGAAATATAATTGCTAGAGTCACCCGTTTTGACATCACCCCCGTTGGTGTTCGATTAAAGATCCTTCCATCTACAAGTAAGTTGTGTTCAATGAAAAACGTGACAATTCTAAATTACGATTTGAGCAAAAGCACACATTTCTTTTTACAGAGGCATTAAAACAAAACGGAAACATACATGTATATGACGTTATCATTGACTTTCATTAGATGATCTTCAATTGAATAAAGAAGAAATGATATCGTATCAACTGACAAATACAGGAAATGTTGAAACCAACTTTAAAGTCAATATTGCTGATGACAAGGGTTTTCTCAGATCATCTAATAGCACGACAATTAATCTTCAAGCTGGAGAAACTGTCGTGAATACGATCGATGTAAATGGAACCGTCAGTGGATCTACATTGTATGTTTTTCTTTTCGAAAAAGCTTTTAAGATGATAAGAAAATAGAAAAGTTTTACAATATCGATGTTCTTTTTTTTTAATTTTCATTACATATTCATTATTTCTGCAGGAAGCTGCAGCTGACTGTTTTCCTGTGGAACTCGACAGAAGTTTTGCAAACAGAATCGAAGAAGTATTATGTAGGTTTATCGTTTCTTGACACATTCATTTAAATTCATGTAACTGAATGTTATATCTTGAAAATAAGCGCCATGGGATTTTCCTTTGAATTCTTAACAAAGTAGGACAATTCTTTTCGACGTCGTGGGAACCCGTAAATTGAAGTAGGCTTTTGCAGTTTTTAATATTTATGTTGGTATGGGATACTACACGAAAACTTCTACACATATTCGTATTTACCTAAATTAGCAGGATTTAAAATACTCCCATCGTTCAGTATGTTACATTGTAATTATATTTTTTTTTGATTATTTTAATGAGATTTTTTACTATATAATTCTTCTTCCAAAAGCTGAATATTATAGGCAAGAGTTACCTTATAAAGTGTTGGTATAAAAACAAAAATGGCAAGAGATAAATCAGTATTGTTTAAATTTTCAACCAAAAAAAGATGAGCATAAAAAACTTCTTAAAAACAGACGGATAACATTCCATTGTGCTCTAGAGTGTGCTTAAATATGTTAACAAAATGAAATATACAAATTGAAAAAAAAGTAAATGGAAAACATTGCTTTTTAAAATGTCCATAGTATAATTATTAGTAGTTACATACTTGCAATTTTTTGTCTATTTTAAATGAAATGACATCTTGTGAAACTTGAATTAAAATGCCTTCAGAAAGTTCTTTTAAAAGGCGAATCTACAAATTTTGATCCTAAAATAAGCACTCGACAAAATCAAAACAATATTTGAAACGGAAATACGTCATAACATGAAGGTATCCTATACTACCTTAAACCAAAAGTTGTTTATTTTAGGATTTGAACTTCGTATTTCTTCGGAGCTGCTTTTTGGTATGAATGTTGAAGATCACCATTTTGTAATATATTGCGTTTAGAATAAGTGTTGCCACTAACTTTGCTGAAAATGGGACATACGACCCAATTTTAATGCTAGAGCTTATGTTTCTTGTAGGTATCTGATGTTCAGAGGCTTGAATGTAAAATCACTTACCAATCACCTCAATGTCCTGTTGAGTCCTTGACAACCAAAACCTGTGATGACTACAACTGGAATGGATCAACAGAAATAGCTTTCTCTTTGAATAAGCCTTCCCAGATTGTTGTTTCAAACAGTGACGTTGACGTTCAATATGAAAACATACCCAGCACAAACAATAGCATGACTGTTAATATCAGGTATGTAACCACTAAGTTCCGATGAACATTCACTTGAATTAGTCTGGCCCAACATATTGTAATCATATTCACATTGCGATTTTTATTTGAGTTTTACAACATCATTTTAAAGTATAAATCAAATTACAACTGTACTTCACAATCAATTCTGGTTTAAGTGTAAATCTGGATTTATTTGATCCATTGTGGATACAATGTATTAAGTACAATATATCGAACTTAACCAGATAATTAAACCAGTTAATTAAAGTGGGCAAACTTTGTTGACTGGTTGAACGGTGAAAATGATGAAATTTACCATGCGCTACCTTTTTTTCTAATTCTGATGGGGTAATATTTTCAGATCCGGGCTTTGAAATCTGTTTTGCCTTTAATTTGTTTGTTTATTTCTTTTTTAGTTTGCTTCTTCGTTTATTCTGTTTTCAGATCGGAATCAAACTCATATGTGTTGACATACATGTATTAAATGGGCTAAACCATTCGAATGTACAACAGATAGATATTGTTTATTATTAAATTTGAATATATACAGCTGTAAAATAAATGTAAGAAAATGCTTATGTAATTTCATCACAAAAAATGACAACTAATTCATCAGACTTGTACTTGAAACTTCAGTGGACATTGCTGTATACAGTCTGTTCAACTCAACGCATACGACGACGATGGATTTTTTGCTAAGTGTGACTTTGTGTTCTCTAATGGTACAATTGTGGCTGTTGAACCCGAAACAACAACGGTAGGTTTGAATTCCTGAAGACTAATTATAGAAGTCTTAGTTGTAAAGAGAATTCCCGTCCGTGATGTAGGACGCATACATTCGTATTATGAAGGTTGGGACAAAGTCATAATATAATATTTACATGGAATTGTTTGTATATTTTTAAGAGAAAAAGTTACCGTTTTTGAAGAGCATTCAAAATTTTGGCGAAGTATCACATCTTTCAGGGCAAATGTGGTTGATGTGTTTTATTCATGTATCTTTTACGTGAAAATTATTTTTGACATAATTTTACAACACCTATATTCAACGTAATTGATCTGTGTCATTCAAAAAAAAAAAAAAAAAGAACAAGCATCAAAACAAAACAAAGAAACAAAAGCAAATAAATGGAAAATTAAATAAAATAAGATTAAAAAATACATTGAAAAAACTTTTCTGACCGACATCTTTTTCAGGCAATTTCTACTTAAATAACGTCAACTGTTTTCTACTAAAATTCATTTCTGTCAAAAAAAATCTCCCCGATTGACGTTTTTGTAGATTTGATTAGCAACTATGATATGCTTCATTCATTAAATATCTAACTTAGCTGCTCAAAGATAGATTTTTAGATTTTTCATCCTTGTATTTTATTCCAAACTAAAAGGAGTCTTATATTCTTTGATCAAAACAATGAATATCAATGAAATTTTACACGAATATTTGTACATATCAATTATCTATAGAAGTAAATAAGAAAATTCGATATCAAAATCTTAAAATTGCGTTTGTATATGCACAGGAACTCACTTCAATAAACACCGAACAAACAACAACGGAAAACTTATCCACCACAACAGCAATAACTGAAGCGGATTCTCTTAGTACAACGGAAAGAGAATCAACACAAACAACTACGATTCAACAACAAACTACAAGGGTGGTCACAGAGCTCCAGGAAACAACTTTATTGGATTCAAAAACAGAAGAACAAACAACAATGGAAACCACTGAAGATAATACAACAGAAAAAGAGACCACAATAATACATCAACAAACAACAGCTGATGAGAAAAGCACAATCACAGCAAGAGTTACAACTTATGTAACTACCTCAATTTTCGCTAAAACAACACTCGTTTCTACAACGACAGATGCTAGAAGTACTATAAAAGATCAACCAACGACTTTTGACGGAAGCACAGCAACAACTTATCAACAAAAAACAACGGAAGAAGAAAGTAAACCGACCACACAATTGTTAACTACCACAGAGGAATTGACGACTACAACAAAAATGGAAACATCGACCGAAAAAATATCATCAACAAATAAAGAAGCTACAACTACTGAGTTAGAAACTACAACTAGTCCGTCAACAACAACTGAAGAAATAATATTAACAAAAGAATTAGCAGAAACAACATTACAACCAACAATACAACAAACAAGTAAAACTACAACGGATGAAGAAATTACAACAACTCTAACCACTTTACGTTCTGAATCAACTCAAAACGACATCGAGACAACACCAACATCAAAGTTCAACAGTGATGAGGTAAATTATGGAAATACGAGATTTTGGACATAAAGAATACTTAGATAATTGAATTAATATGCAAGTCATCTTCTTCGAAAATACACTTTTTTTGATCGAACAACTAATCTTTTTTTCTCTTTTATGTAGTTGGAGTCATCACCAATATTTCTGACAGTAATCTCTGGAAGTGGAATGATTATTTTGATCGTGGCTGTTGTGTTTTCGGTGACAATGTATAAATCCTTTACAAAAAGCAAAGCGACTCAAAAGTCATCACCATACTTGAAGGACCCTGCAGAAAACGTTTCTCCCTATCAATCAAATCCCACAGATTATGATGGAAACCCTACCTTCCAAACTCAACCAGCTGTGTTCAGAAGTGTTGATAACTGGAATATGTAGGCAGGGGCTTTGATTCTGTATTGGAATTCTATACCTTTTCTACTGAAAATTAAATATAAATAAATGGCAAAAACAATGGGGATGTCAAAATATATAGATCAACAAGTTTACAATTTTCTGTTTAAAGAAGTACCGAATATGCTGTAAAATCTAATATTATAATGCAGTCAAATGTTAGTGGCATTTTTTTTCTTAAAATTTACTTATGCTTTCACATATAGATATATTAATTAACTATCTGTAGATACTTTCATTTTTATTAAAGGAGTAAAACAAATACATATATGATATGACCTACATTAATACAACTCTTTACTGTGAAAAATTAATATCTATACTTATAAATTAATAAATTTTGCAAATAAACTCCGAAACGGGTGCACCAGAGTTCTTACTTATTTCTCTAAGAATACACTAGATAAAAGATGATGTCCGTAAACTATATTTAGATTTCACTTGCATAGCAAGTATCGTACATTAAATTAAAAGTCTACTTTCATTTTCTATAAACAGCCATGAAATAGCAAAAACGTGAGTACGGTGGGGTTTCCGGTTGGCGGATCTAAATTACTGTCAATTTTTAATTAAACTGATTTCAAGCAATCGTTTATTTATTTCATAAAATATCATCACTGAATTATTCAATCAAAACTTAATTTAAAAGAAATAAAAGAAATAAGTTGTGATAACCGACAAAAAAAAAAAAAAGGAAAATGTGCAAATAATTTTCGTCATTCACCGATCTTAATATTGACGGAAGCTTCTAAAACATCATACAGCATCGAGCCCGATGTTAAAAAGAAAAATAAGGCGATTATAGCTGCATGAACATAAAAAAGAGAAGCTTTTGTATGAATGTTCTTTGAAATAATGGTATATCATTGATAACACTATAAGTTGTGAATGTATATATTTATCGAAAGAGTATTACATATATGTAGTAAGTTTTCCTAATAAATTTATCGGTAAAATTTGTATATATTCCTCACTGAGAGCATCATGGCAACGAACCTGAAATAATTTGTACTTCGTAATAAACTTATTATATATGTCTAATATATTAACTTATTAAATATGTCTCTGCTTACATGAAAAGGGAAAATTAATGAATAATGTATTGTTCAAATACAATTAAAGCTGTAAAATTTTGTGCTTAAATCAAATTACATTTCAGTTTCCTTTTCTGAATACAGTAACAAATACTCGGCCTATTCATAGGGCGTTAAAAGCTTATTTTTGCACAGGTACTTGGGTCTTGGTTTATAAATATGTATGTACCTTATTGATATGTAAAAAAAAAAGTCGGTAGTGGTAAAAATTCAATTCCCCCAGCTTGCGCGGGATTTCATGTAGTACATTATAAGAAAGAAGAAAAAGGGGTGATGAAAGAGGCTTAGTGCAAAAGGGTGAGATTGGGGAACAGTATGAGTATTATAACTACGCTTGTGCATTTGTATTAAGATTTGGTAAATATTACATATTTATAGCATATCACTAATAGTTTTCCAGTGCTTTTCATAACCTGAAAATTTACTAATTAACAATGTAACTTTCTTTTTATTTAATATAATGTATCTTTGCATTTGTTTTCTCTTCATCTTCATACAATACTGCAAAGAGACTGAAAACTAATAATTTATAGATCTATACATATGCTATTGAACTTCGGTATCTCGAACACTGATACATTCTTAGACTTAGCTAAAATAACTCGTCCAAAGACTTTTTTTTTAGCGATGTTATTTACCTTCAAAGCACTCTTTGGCAAAATTCTTATAGAAATGAAGACATTGCCATTTTGGCGTTTATTTTTTATATTTATTTTTGTACAGAGAAAATGATTGTAACGTTTAAAGAATAAGAAGACAGTCGTTAGCTTTGATTTTTTTTTCTCATATTTTATTTTCCGAAATTCCTGTCATAGTTTTGTTGCCCCCTTTTTAATCCTTAAGGCCTTTGTAAATAACTTTATTGTGTTGTCCAGAACGAAGTCAGGTGACAACGTTTTATTGATAGACCCCATATTTTGTCTGCGAATGTTCTCTCAGATGGCTAGGAGAATTATAATGAAACTTCCGTGAAATGATAATCACGAATTCTAGATGCGCCATGTACATTTGAGACTTTCAAAATGGCCACCGATTCAATGAAAACAGACAGGATATGAATTTTTAAAACTTCATTTTTCTCAGTAACAGCAGATCCAAACCTTTTTTCTCAGTCACAGCTGAGCCAAACTTTTTGAAACTTCAAAATAAAAAAAAATGTTCAATGCATTCTGTCAAAATGTTTTCTAAAGAAACGGATGTACAAAGTTTGTTACTATATCATGGAAATATTGAGTTAACTATTAACAGTTCACTCTTTCTCTCGTGATATAGAAAAGTGAATTTCCCGTTGCAGTTGTGTATTGACATTTTTCAGGTACAAGTAAGACGCCTTTCGAAATCTGTATTAAGATTTTGCATTTTTTACTTACTCTGCTCTCAACTCCAATAATGCAGCTTTGAGATTAGTTTGGGATGACACATTCTATTGCCTGCAATTTCAAAAGTTCTAATTATTAATTGATTTTAAGAATATTTCCAAGACTTTTATTGCCATTTCGGATTTGTATGTAAGGAAACGATAAACGATATTTGTTTTAGCCCTTTTGTCAGCTCTTTCATTTAATGCCCTAATTTGCTTTATCAAAATTCCAGTTAAGTATTCAACGCATTTTAGATAAATTATATATGCCGGAAAACAATACCAAAATGCACAGTTAACAGATGACTAATTGATCAATGACGGATTTGCACAAAGAAAATCATTATACAAAACTTTTGGGTTTATTTGTATTGATAGTCTCTGTAACTGAGATGGCCTTAGTTTCGAAAACATTTTATAACTAATGTCATCTAATGGAAAGAAACTTTATTTTCCATCACATGACTGATTCAAATAAAATGCTTTCATGTTATGTGAAAACTAATTGAGAAGCACGCTCAAAATTGTATTGCTAAGAAATATGAATGTTATCATAAAAGCAATTGTCATTTATACCTGATAGTTGAGATTTAAGAAAGCTATACAAATCATTGAACTGAAAGGAACTATACTCATCTGATAAATGAATATTCATTTATTAAAGAATATTGAAACAGTATTTTCAATCCTACGAAACAACTTTCATTTGCGTGCAAGAAATATCATGAAACCTTTCTTTAGTCGCGATATATTTCTAGAAGAAAACAGTATTTTTAATTGTGCATTTATTTAGAATGATTTCTGAGTCGTGGAAATTAATAAACTCGGATGGTTTTCAAATTGACGAATCGCAAACGAAAGTTGTCACAATTAAAGGTGTTTTAGAGTACATCTGATGAAAATTATATGATGTATCATGTTTTCCAGTATAATTGTACGATAACCCATGCGCAAATCTGGAGGGGTGAGGGTCTGGACCCCCCCCCCCCCCCCCACCGGCCTGGAATTTGTGGAGTTATTAAATGTACATAGATTGTGTTTCAGGACTTTAAACTATGAAATTTGAACTTGATTTTAAAGTTTGATGATTTTGTAAATTCTGCATTTGTTGCATTGTAGGGACTGCCCCTTTTTTTGTGACCCATCTATTGTTGTATTGCAGGGTCTGCTCTTTGTGTTGGTGGCCCATTGCTTTGCTAGATACACTTATAGTTGATAATCACTCATCTAATTATTTGTCTCTCTTGGTCCACATCCGTGATCAATTTATACTACAATAAAATTCCATAAACATATTTATGCTTTGTTTAAATATGCACTTATCTGAGATAATATTATACCTTAATACTGAGGGTTGTGCAACACTTTATTTATGTAATTAATACACCCTCGTTGATTCCCCTGTACTTTGATCTTTAAATATCTGATGCTAGGTGGCGAGAGAAAGAGTGAACTGTTACTAGTTAACTCATTCTTTCTTTCAATGACATAGTAACAAACTTTGTTCATCTGTTTCTTTAGAAAACACTTTGACAGAATGCATTGACCATTCAAAAAGTTTGGCTCAGCTGTGACTGAGAAAAAGGTTTGGCTCAGCTTTTACTGAGAAAAATGAAGTTTTAAAAATCCATATGCTGTCTGTTTTCATTGAATCGGTGGCCATTTTGAAAGTCTCAAATGTAAATGGCACATCCAGAATCGGTGATTATCATTTCACGGAAGTTTCATTAAGATTCTCCCAGTCATCTCCGAAAACATTCGCAGACAAAATTATAGGTCTAGCAATAAAAAGTTGTCGATTGACTTCGTTCTGGACGAATAAAGTTATTTCACATAGGCCTTAAGGATTAAAAAGAGGGGGGGGGGCATAAAAACTATGACAAGAATTTCGGAAGATAAATATGAAAAAAAAAATCAAAGCTAAAGACTGTCTTTTTATTCTTTAAACGTTACAATCATTTTCTCTGTAAAAAAAAAGAAAGAAAAGAAATGAGGATATTATACGAGGGCTGTTTGGAAATTATTAAGACATTTACTTTTACTCCACAAAGGACAGAGATAAATTCATGAAAATTAAGTGCAAGTCTCTGTAAGAATCAGGCAAAGTAGGTTTGAAAGTGAATCATGAGGGTTCTCAGAATTTGATGATTTTCAGCATATAGATTTCTCTTGTGCTACAATCAATGTATGCAAAGTGAAAAAAAATTTTGGGTCATGGTTACTATGGAAACATGACAAAAGAAATTTCCTTAGCAACCAGTCAATTTTCCATGTGTATGGACAAAAAAATCACTAATCTTTAGGGCTTGAACTTTATTGTGAATATTTAATAATTTCTTCTTATTTATTCTTATCGTAAAGATAAACATTTCAAGTGTTTTCACAATGCATTACATAGAAATAAGATTTTGAGATATATCTGTACTAGACATGGGTAGATATGCATGTTTTGTGTTTTTTGCTGATTCAGCATTTTTGTTGATTTTGGTACTTTTAAAAGCCTTATTACTCAAACTTCTGGCGTAATACAG